TGTAATACACATTCATACCTGTGAATGTGATCTTTTTTAGTGACATGGTCTGGCTGTATTGCCCAGGCAATATTGTACAGTGGTGTGATCTCAGCTCACTGCAGCTTCTGCTTCCCAGGCTTAAGCCATCCTCTAACCTCTGCCTCCTAAGTAGCTGTGACCACAGGTGCACACCACCACACCCAGCTACATTTTGTTATTTTTGTAGAGACGGGGTTTTGCCATACAGATTTTACCTCCTTGGTTAAATTTATTTCTATGTATTTCATCTTTTTTGATACTTTTGTAAATGAAATTGTTTACTTTTCAAATACTTTATTGTTAGTGTATAGAAATGCTATTGTTTTTATGTGTTGGTTTTATATCCTACAGCTTTGCTGTATTTATTTATTAGTTCAAACAGTTTTTTGCTGGAGCTGTTAAGAGTTTTTTTTTTCTCTCTCTCTATACACACACACACACACACACACACAGACACACACACACACACACACACATATATTTTTATGTTAAGGGATATATTTTTCATTTAAGATCAGGAACAAGACAGCATGTCATCAGCAGTGAGTTTCACCTCTGCTTTTCCTGTTTGGATGCCTTTTATTTCTTTCTCTTGCCTAATTGATCTGACGAGAACTTTCAATACAGTATTAAATAGATATGATGAGGGCGGGCATCACTGTCTTGTTCCTGATCTTAAATGAAAAATATATCCCTTAACATCAAAATTAATTGGTAAAAGACTAAATGCTTTCCCCTAAAATCAGAAACAAGGAAAAAATGTTCACTCCCACCACTTCTATCCAATATTGTACCGGAAGTTCTATTCTATGCAATAGAGGAAGAGAAAGAAATAAAAGGTATCCAGATTAGAAAGGAAAAAGTCTAACTGATCTTACTTGTAAATGACATAATTGTCTCTTTAGGAATTCCAGTAGAGTAGAATCAAATCTTCTAAAGCTACTAATAAGTGAGTTTAGTAAGTCTCCATGATAAAGGTAAATTTAAAAAATCAACAGTATTTCTATAGCCTAGTAACTAACAATTAGAACTGAAAGTTTTTTCAAAACCATCATCAATATGATATACTTTTAAGAATAAATCTGACAAAAGACCTACAAGCTGAAAACTAAAAATCCATGCTGAGAGAAATTAGAGACCACTTACATAAATGGAGAAATATATCTTACTCACAGGTCTAAAAAGACTAGATAGTGTTAAGATGTTAATTCTCTCTAACTCCATCTGCAGGCTTTTTTGTTGAAATTGACAAGTGACTCTAAAATACATATGGAAATATAAAGAACCTATATAGCCAAAGCAACTTGGTGGGATACAAAAAACAAAGGTGGAACATTATTACTACCTGATTTTAAGACTTACTATAAGTTTAGCAACAGTAACCAAGACAACATGGTGTTGGCACCATGATCAACATTTATAGACAACTATAACAAAGCTGCACAGGCAATTCAGTGGCAAAACAACACCCTTTCAACAGTTAGGTACTGGAGTGATTGTACTTCCATATACAAAATAAACTTGGACTTATATTGATGACGGATACCCCTAACAATATACAAAAATTAACTGAAAACTGTCATGATAGTTTTGATCACAACTCAAAACTGCATAGATCTAAAGGCAAAATATATATTCCCTTAATGATATTTTACCTACAGTGTTCATCTTTTATTTATACTGTGTTAATGTCTCCTTTAATATTCTGTTTTGTGTTTTCAGATACAATTGAGCTAATAGAGACTTCTAAGTATCTATTTAATTTTTAAAAAATCTTTTTGCTATAGCATCTCACACAAGATTCCATCAATTCCTTCAACAACAGTAAACTTTGAAATGTATCAAAAAAAGATGATGCTAAAAATAATTTTTAAAAAAATTTGGTTGTTTACCTATTGCTGTTTCTGGCATGGCAAAAAGACACTTTTCTGTAGCCACTCGAAATTGCCCATGGACTGAAAGACCAACTCCCTGGGAGAAAAAGAGGCAAAAAAAGGTGGGGTGGGGGATTAAACATATTGTTAAAAAACAAATTCACACATTCACAAATATTACAAAGCAAGTAAATTATCTTTATACTCCACAGGAACCCGCTTCAGGAGATAGGTTGTACCCAACATCTTCAATTAATTTTGAATTCCACAAACATCACACGGCTATATTTCCCTTTATTAAACATTTACATACAAAGGTAAAGTCTGACCACACCCCCATCCTAGTCTGATCATTCTCTTTCTCCACAGAGACACATAGCTATTATCAATTTGGTAAGTAACCTACAGATTTTTTCCCTGTGTATTTCTTATATTTGAACAAATGTGTATATTTATCTGATATATATTTAAGAATATATACAACTATACATACATAAAATTCATACTCTTCCATGGCCTGCAAGGCTCTGTATCACCTGGCCTAGACTACCTCTTTGCCTTTATCTCCCATCACTCTTCCTGCACTCATTCCACTAGCCATGCAAGCTTTGTGCCATTCCTCCAAAATTTTAAGCTTTTACAATTTCAATTAATCATAAAACTTATTTTTGGAGATGGAGTCTCACTCTGTCACCCAGGCTAGAGTGCAGTGGCTCAATCTCCGCTCACAGCAACCTCCACCTCCCGGGTTCAAGCAATTCTCCTGCCTCAGCCTCTTGAGGAGTTGGGATTATAGACACCCACCACCGTGCCCAGCTAATTTTTGTATTTTTAGTAGACATAGGTTTCACCATGTTGGCCAGGCTGGTCTCGAGCTCCTGACCTCCGGTGATCTGCCCAACGTGGGCACCTCAGCCTCACAAAGTGTTGGGATTACAGGCGTGAGCCATATCATCCAGCCAATCATAAAACTTCTAAAGTAAGGAAGACATACTAGAGAAGGCCACTGCCTGATCAATCACTGTTTTTTCTCTAAGGGAATCTGCTCTGCCTAGAGACTTTTTTTCTTTTTCCCAGCAGGCACTGAACTAGGGATGGGCAACGGACCCAAGGGCAGCCAATGGATGTTAGCCAGAATTCAGAGGCCTGGGAAGTAAAGGCACAGGGGTGAATCAGACAAGGTTCCTTACTCTTAGGTACTTAAACTAAAACACAGTGCACAACTGTCAGTCGATGACAGGCAGTGAAGCTTAAAGGTCATCTGACATTGGAGCTAAAGATGGCATGACAGCCAAATAAAAGCTGAAATTATATGCAGTAGAGGAAAAAAAAAAACGTGAGAATGCTGCAGTCTATACAAGATGGAAGACAAAATAAATATATAAAAAGATTCAGAGATAGAAAAATAAACACACGAATTTGCCTGAAGCCCACACCTGCAGCCCAATTTTCAGGACGATAAGCTATGTTGTGGCTTTTGTCTTTGGATTCCCATTTGGTCCCTGAAGTTGTCTAATAACTGCCCCATTCTCTTCTCTGGATCTACTTGAGGGAGTCTCTGTTCTTTCCAATTAAAATCTCTTAATCACATTTTTAGTTAGAACCAGACCTAGATCCTGTCATCAGCATCACACAACATAAGCTTTTCAACCCCAGTACATATTCACTGCAATACTGTTCTGTGCTTTCCCTCCCAACACAACCTCCTAACACCGCTGTCCCTGACTAGCCATTCCCATCACATCTTCTGGAATTCTCATTCCTTTACAAAAGAACAACCAACCTAACAGACCAAATTCTCTACAGAGGGCCCTCTCTACCTCCTGAACTCTATGGAAAAAGAAACTTAGAAGCTCATATTACTTCACATAGACTCTACAGATCCATACATGGTAATTGATTCACTGATTCCATTCTTTATCTTATGTTACATAGTATATTTTGTTTCAGCATTGGCTGTTAATAGTGAATGAAAGAAAAGACATCAAGTTTTGAGTAAAAAGTTATTAATGAAAAACAGAATAAGAGACCACTGACATAAGTATAATTAAGAGCCAATTTTAAAGCCTTTCAATAAAGATGAAGCCTTGAAATAGTCAAGTCACTTCACTTGAAGATACTAGGAATATGCCAAACCATGTCGAATGAGGTGTAAAACCTTGATGGCAGATTCATAACTAATTTTTCTATCTTGCATCAAAGAATGTATTATAGGTTACTTGTAAGAAGTACCTCTTAATATCTGAAATTTTATCTTCCATTTTATTTGACCCTTAATCTTAGCTGATACTCCTTTGCTAAAGTCTCCAGAGTCAGGTTTTATTGTATTAGCTAATTTTTATACAGATACATTCTCCAAGTGTAATACTTTATTCCAACTCCTACTCTCCTCAAATACTCTCCCCAAAACCTATCAAACTCAGTAGTCAAATCTCATTTTTCACCTAACTGAATACTATCTATCTCAGTAATATCTGATAGAGTTGCTCATTCCTACTTTATGAAAGGCTTTACTGGGCTTTGAGACACCATACATTCCTGTTTTAAAATCTAATTAATTAGTTGCTCTTTCACTTCTCCCTGATATCAAAGTGTTGATTTGTCACAATAATTAGATGCCATCCTTTCATTCCCCTTCACTCTACTCCAATGTATTCTGCCCTGTCTACATTCATTCCCTAGGAGATCTCTTCCAGCCCTAGGATTTTAAGCACCACTGAAAACACCAATCAATTATTTCCCCATCCCTAATTTCTCTACTCAGCTATTTAACATCTCATTTTGAATGTCTAATAAGTATCTCAACCTTCACATATCAAAAGTAAATCTGATTTCTCCTTGAGTATGCTCCTTTCTCTGTCTTCACCTCAGTAAATAGCACCACAATTCACCCAGCTGCTCAGGCCAAACATCTCAGCGTTAACCGTCTTTCCTTCCTACCCAACAATGTAATCTATGAAATATTCTGACAGCTCTAATTTCAAAATATAACCTGGACTGGGCCACTTTTCACCATCCACACCATTCCAATCCTACTTGAAGCCTTTATCCACTCTTGCCTGGGCTGTTGTCTCTTGCTTCTGTTCTTGCCACAACCTATCATCTCCATACCAAAGCACGCTTATTAAAAATGTAAAACATATCACGTGATTCTCCTGCCCAAAAGTCTCCAGTGACTTCCTATCACACTAAAATATTAACATGGCTGATGATCTGGTCCCTTTCTACCTCCCTGATTTTATGGTCTATCCATTCCCCACTTTCACTCCAGTAAGCCACACAGGCTTTTTCTAACTTTTTTGACGTATAATATCCACTTAAATGTACATAAACAGTAACAAATATAGTAGGCATACAGTTTCAGTGAATTATCCAAATGAACACACCCATGTGACCAAAACCCAGATAAAAACTATCAGAAATTGCTTTACGCACCCTGTCTGTCACTACATCCTCCATCCTTCAAGTAGCTACTATTTTGACCTCTAATGAAGGATTAGAGTTTTTTCTGGTTTATCTAGATATAAATAGAATCACAGAATATATATTACTATCTGACTTCTTTCAGTCAACATCATGTTTGTGAGATTTTATGTTGTTGTATATAGCAGTAATTTGTACTTTTTCATTGTATAGCATCCCTTTGTATGAATAAACAATTTGTTAAGCCATTCTAATATAAATGGCTATTTGGGTTGTCTCCAGTTTTGGGCTACTGCAAATAACAATTCAGTGGCCATTCTTCTGAATGTATTTTGGTCAGATATATATCAGAAAGTAAAAGTGTCGGGTGAAGAGTATTAATCAGCTGGGTGTGGTGGCTCATGTCTGTAGTCCTAGCACTTTGGGAGGCCAAGGCAGGACTGAGGTCAGGAGTTCGACACCAGCCTGCCTGTTCAACATGGTGAAACCCTGTCTCTACTAAAAATACAAAAATTAGCTGGGTGTGGTGGCATGCACCTGTAATCCCAGCTACTTGGGGGGCTGAGGCAGGAGAATCACTTGAACCTGGGAGATGGAAGTTGCAGTGAGTCAGGACTGCACCACTGCACTCCAGCCTGGAAAAAGACCAAGACTCCATCTTAAAAAAAACACACAGGGCATTATTAACTCATTCAACTTTAAAAGATATCAAAACAATTTTCCTAAGCGGCAGTGCAAATTTCTACTCCACTAGCTGTATGTGAGTTTGTTGTTCTACATCCTGACCAACACTTGAAGATGTCTTTCACATTTTAGCCATTCTAATGACTATATGTTAGTATTTTACAGCAGTTTTAATTTGCATGTCCTTGATGATTAATGCAGTTGAGAGCTTTTTCAGGTTTATCAGCTATCTGGGTATCCTCTTTGTGGAACATCTGTTCTAATCTTTTGCTCCTTTTTTATACTGGATTTTGGAATTAACTGGTAGAAATTCTTTATATATTCTAGACATGATTCCCTTATCAGATGTATACCAAATATCTTTTCAGTCTGCAGCTTGCCTTTTCAATCTTTCAAGGATGTCTTGGAATGAACAGAAATTCTCATTCTTAACACATTACAATTTGTTCATTTTGCTTATGGTACATTTAAGTAATATTTAAGTGTGTTCTTTAAGTAATCCCTCCCTACTCCCTGGGGCTGAAATTTTCTTTGTGAAAAGGTTTCTAAAGGTTTACTTTCCATTAACTGTTATGAATTCAATTTCATTAAGTCATAGAATTAAGATGCTTTTTGATTTAGATACATAAAAATTTGTCCATTCACCAAAATTTTGAAATATATGAGCATAAACTTGTATATAACACTGTCCTGTAATCTTTTTAATGACTATGGGTTCTATAGTGATGTGCTATTTTTTTCTATATTTGTAACATATTTTGCTTTTATCTTTATCAACTTATCACTAACGATTTATCAGTTTTATTCGTCTACAAAAATAATTTTCTGCTTTAATTATACTGTTTATTGATTTTGTTTTTTTTTAATTATTATTTCATTGTGATGTCATACAAAAGTTACTGCTCCTGTGCCAAACATTTGGGACTTCCCCATTTTCTTTCTATTATGGATTGCAAGCTTAATTCTACTGGGGCCAGATATTATCTTCTG